GTTGTGCCGTTTTCCGGTGCTGCTCCTCCAGCGGCTCCGGCCTTTCGCCGCCTCATTTCCCTCCACTGGCTTCTTTCTGTGCCCAAAGGCTCTGTTGGCACCGCCCCGAATGCCCTTCTGCCCTTTTGCCCTCCAGGATCCTGCCGACAGCTGGGGGTGTTTTGCTTCACAGGCTTCCAGGCCGGGCGGCTCTATTTTAAACCCCTGCGTCATGCGCTCCATGCCCGGGGAATGCCAAGGGGCGACGGGGCGCAGCACGGATCTGCCAGGAGCAAATGCCAGATGTGAGCCGTCCCGGGGCAGCTCTCCGGCCCCGTTCCGCAGCCCCGCGGCTCTCCGCAGCACGTCCGGCTGAGCCTGGACCCCTGTCGAGAGCCCCTTCCGCGCACGGACTCCCGAGCCCCGGGCGCTCTCGGCTCCGTACGGCCCCTGGGAGGAGCCCCCTTAGTGACGCCCTTCTCGGGGGTTCACTCTCTCTGGGACCGCACCTCTGAGTCTCCAGCTGACCTCTCTTTCCCGTGGGCCCCCTCAGGGGGTCCCCTCGCTCTGGGCCCCTGGATCCCCACCCCCAGAGGGAGCAACACCCCCCCCCCAATCTCCAGACTGCACTGACTCTCCTCCAGGTTTATTGAACATCTGGACACAGCCCGGGCAGTTCTCAGGGTCCTCGGGCCTGGCCAGTCTCAGCCCCGACCAGCTCAGGTGGGCTCCGGCTACTCCTTGTCCCCCCCTATGTCCCCTCCCCCAACAGCTCCTCCTCCCTCCTTTGTCTTAGGTCCCAGGTAAACAGGCCACGGGGCCTTTGTTCCCCTGCTGGCTGGACCCGGCTGGGCTGGGCAGGTCATGGGGTCCTCTCCCCTCAGCCTGTTTTCAGCCCACTGGCCAGACCCGGCTGGCTCCCAATCTGGGGGGATGGGGGACTCCCGGGCACTGGTTGCTGGGTACCCAATTTCCAGGCTGTTGTCAGGGTCCTGCTGCCAGGTGAGGTCACACCTGGTCCAGCGCAACAACAAACCCCCTCGTTACACACGCAGCACACAGGGAAACTGAGGCGCGCACAGTGTTCGTGCAAACCTGTACGAAAATCCCCTGAAAGACGGGGATGGAACCCAGGAGTCCTGGCTCCCACTCCAACGTCCTCACCGCCCGGCGGTGCCAGCTCCGCTCCCTCCTAACCCTACTGCCTCCTGCCCTGACAGTACCTGAGCTGCCTGACCACGTCCCGCTCCCTGACGGACAAACTGGCCTTCGATGTGGGGCTGCAGGAGGACGCCTCAGGTAGGGGAGGCACGACCGACAATGCAGAGGTTGTTGTTTAGGTGTATTACGGTAGCACCTGGGCGCCCCAGCCATGGACCAGAACCCATTGCAATGCTGGACATTTTCATTGCTCTTAATTAAATGTATTATGGTAGTACCTGGAAGCCACGCCCATGGACTGGGATTCGATTGTGCATGGTGCTGCACAGACACTGCTGTTGGGGAAACTGAGGCACATACAGGGGCAGTGACTTGTCCAAGCTCACCCAGCAAGCCAGGGGGAATAGAACCCAGGAGTCCTGGCTCCCAGTCCCTCCGCTCTAACCACTAGACCCCACTCCCCTCCCAGAGCTGGGAAGAGAACCCAGGAGTCCTGGCTCCTAGCACTAGGCCCCACCCCTTCTCAGACCCAGATCACCATGTGACCTGGGGCAAGTCCCTGCCCCGCTTTGTGCCTCAGTTTCCCCACCTGCCCAGCATGCAGCGCTGTGTAGCCTCTAAGTGTTTCCATTCATGCTGTCATGGTTTGTCCGCGTTTGCCCGGCCGAGGGGCCTGTGCCAGCTGCAGACGCCTGCCACCTTCCTGCTGGGTTGGCAACGCCTCCCCGCTCCTGCTCGGATGCCCCTTAAGCCCTGACTCCCTGACCCCAGGGGTTCGGATGCAGAGCCCCATGGTCAGCTGGCAAACCCTCAAGGGGGCTCGGCCGGCGCCTGGCTGTGATCAGACTAAAGAGAGGAGGAGGAGTGGGGCACCCCGTCCCCACAGTTCCCGGAGCAGGGTGGGGGGTTCCCAGCTGCCGGGCTGTGCCCCCATGGGGTGAGGTCCAGCCCTGTTGCAGTAGGGCCGGGTTCCTGCCCTGGGCTGGTGGGAGGGTCCAGGGCAGGGTGGTCCCCACGTTCCAGCCTTCGCGGTGCCCAAGGGGGTGCAGCAGGTGAGGGGGGACCCTGGAATCGGGAGGGGGGCCAGGGCTGTCCCTGGGCCTATCCCCTCCCTGCCCCCCTGGCTGCCGGCTGCACCCACGCCCTGTCTGTGCCCTGACCCCAGGTGAAGCCTGCTGGTGGATCATCCACCCCGCCTCCAAGCAGCGGTCGGAGGGCGAAAAGGTTCGAGTCGGGGACGACCTCATCTTGGTCAGCGTCTCCTCTGAGCGCTACCTGGTGAGTAGGGCTGTGCACATGGGTGTGCATATGTGTGTGTGCGCCTGGGTGTACATGTGCATGTGTGTGTACATGCGTGTTGTGTGCGTGCACACGTGGGGCATGGATGTGTTTGCACATGTGCAAGGGGTTGTGTGTGTGGATGTGTGCAAGGGAGCGTGCGTGTGTGTACCAGAGTGGGTGTGCAAGCCCCTGTGCGTGTGTGTGGCTACATCCGTGTGTGTGTGTGTGCATGGGTGTGCAAGCCCCCCATGCGTGTGTGTGGCTACATCCGTGTGTGTGCGCATGGGTGTGCAAGCCCCCCGTGCGTGTGTGTGGCTACATCCGTGTGTGTGCGCATGGGTGTGCAAGCCCCCCGTGCGTGTGTCTGCTGACCCAATGAGGAGACCCCAGCTACAGGTATGTGGGAGAGGCAGGTGGTTCTGGGCCCAGACTCCTGGGTTCGCGCTGGTGCGGGCAGCTGTCTCTCCTGGCCCTCCGCCGACCCCCCCCGCGCCTTTCTGTCTCTCTCCCCCCTCCCAGCACCTCTCCACGGCCAGCGGGGACCTGCAGGCCGACGCCTCCTTCATGCAGACACTCTGGAACATGAACCCCATCTGCTCGGGCTGCGAGGAAGGTCAGTTTCCCCCCGCCCTGCTCCCGGGATCCCCTGCCCCATGCCAGCCCTGTGGGCAGCCCCTGAGCCCGCAGCCATGACACTAGCAGCTGGGGGGCTGCAGGTCCCTGGGTGGAGGCAACTCCCTGCCCCTCTGATAGGAGAGAGAAGGGAGAGGGGCCAGGACTCCTGGGTTCTATCCCAGCTCTGGGTGGGGCGTGGGGTCTGGTGGCTAGAGCAGGGGGGGCTGGGAGCCAGGACTCCTGGGTTCTATCCCGGCTCTGGGAGGGGAGTGGGGTCTGGTGGTTACAGTGGGAGGGTGGGAGCCAGGACTCCTGGCTTCCCTGCGTCATTGGCCCTCCCCCGTCCCTGCACTGACATTCGCTGGTTTCTCCTCTCCTGCCAGGGTACGTGACGGGGGGTCACGTCATGCGTCTCTTCCACGGGCATATGGACGAATGCCTCACCATCTCCTCCAGCGAGCAGGGCGAGGAGGAGCGCAGGTACAGCCCGGAGAACGATTCGACACCCACCCCAGCGGGGCGCGAACCCGTGGCCTTGGGCGCTGGGAGCTCGAGCTAAGGGTGTGGCCTGGGTGTCCCTGCCTGGGCCGGGGGATGGAGAGTGATGTGGTCGTGTGACCCAGGGGAGGGGCAGCGCTGGACGGGGGTAGCCAGGCTCCTGGGTTCTGTTCCTGGCTCTGCTGGGCAGCCTCAGGCGAGTCACAGCCCTCTCTGTGCCTCAGTTTCCCCTCCCACCCTTTGCAAGCTTTTCAGGGCAGGGACTGTCTCTCATTATGTGTCTGTGCAGCGCCCGGCCCAATGGGGGAAACCCCAGTTTCCGTCGGCGCCTTTAGGGCCTGTCTCCGCTGGGGCCCGACTGGGTCTCTAGGGAGATCGGCCTGTTCCGTGGTGAGCCGGGGTGGCTGGATCTGGCCTGCGCTCCCACGGATTGGGGGGCCTGGCTCGGTTCCCACCCCTAACGCTCCCCCTCTCTCGTCGGCAGGGTGGTGAACTACGAGGGCGGCGCCGTTTGCACCCACGCCCGCTCCCTCTGGAGGCTGGAGCCCTTGCGCATCAGGTAGGGGAATCGCAGGTTCTGCTCCCCCCTCCTGCCCCCCCCCGGAGAAAGGGGGCGCCGGCCTGGGACGATGGCGTCACGCTCAGATGATGGTGCTGGATGATGTGGGGTGGGGGCAGGGACTGTATGGACAGGGAAGTCAGCGACTGCGGGGGGGACTGCATGGACTGTAGGATCGGGGACTGTATGGACCAAGGGGACTGTATGGCAGGGAAGTGAGTGACTGTATAGGCCGGGGGGGAGGAGACTGTGTGGACCGGGGGGACTGTATTGACCAGGGGGTCAGGGACTGTATAGACTGGGGGGACTGTATTGACCAAGGGGTTGGGGACTGTATGAACCTGGGGGACTGTACAGAGCAGGGGGTGGGGGACTGTACGGACCAGAGGGTCGGGGACTGTACGGAGCAGGGGGTGGGGGACTGTATGGACGAGGGAGGAATTATGGACCGGGGGAGGTTGGGGACTGTATGGATTGGGAGGGGACTGTGCAGACTGGGGAGGTTGGGGACTGGACGGATGGGGACGGGGGGCGGGTTCGAATCCAGCCACAATCCTTGCACCCAGTGGGCGGGAATGGGGGGTTCTGGGCTGACCCAGCGTCCCGTGGAGCTGGGGGCCCGGAGCCCGTGTGCGGCGCTAGCGCTGGGTTTCTCTGCCCCCCGGCAGCTGGAGCGGGAGCTACATGCGATGGGGGCAGCAGTTCCGGGTGCGGCACGTCACCACCGGGCGCTACCTGGGCCTGACCGAGGAGAAGGGGCTGGTCGTGATGGACGCCGAGAAAGCCAACACCAAGGCCACGGCCTTCTGCTTCCGCGCCTCCAAGGTGAGAGCGGGGCTGGGGGGGCGCCATGCTGTGGGGGGCGGGGCTGGGCTGTGGAGGGCGGGGCAGGGTCGTGGGGGGCAGGGCCAGGGTCAAATCCTAACATTTGTCTTGAAGTTGGGATTTTCCTTCACTTCAAACAACCCCCACGCCCCACCCCAGAGGCAGCTGCATCTCAGCGCTGGGTGGACTGTCCGTCTGGGGGGCTGACGGCTGGATGCCCCCTCGCCTGCCCCCAGGTGCCAGGACAGGCAGCGCTGACTCCCCTGGCGTGAGAGCAGGGGCAGTGTGTGGGGCGACCCCCAGAGACAGCTGAGCCGAGAGTCGGGGGCTGCGGCTCGTCCTTTTATGGCCGGGGGCGTGGGGGGACTGGGCCTGAGCCGAGGCCCTTCCCTCCTTCCCACCCCATTCCCCCAATGGCAGCCTCCCCCCCATTCCCTGCATTCCCAGCCCCATCCCCTCCCCCCATTCACCCCATATTCACAGCCTGCTTTGTGCCAGCCCTCCTGCCTCCACCAGCCCCCATGTTTTCATTACCCCCCCCACACACATTCACGGCCCCCCACATTCCCAGCATCTCCATCCCCCACACTCACGGCCCCCCACATTCCCAGCATCCCCATCCC